GACATAGCTGCTGAAATAACTTCTTCTTCCCTTACACTTCCACCACACTATCAAATAAATTAGATTTTCAATGTGCATCGGTCAGTGCAGTCAAAAAAAACAATTGACCCCATTGTTATATAATCCTGGGATGTTGACAATACAAGAGGCCATTCAGAACAAGTATTAGAGACATTTCTAGGCTTTCATATACAGGCATTTAATGAACCATGTCATATTCTTGCGCTGTTCAAAATTAAGGGGACGTTAGGATTTGAAACATTTTTATCAGTATAATAAAACAATCATTATATCTTAACTACAATGCCAGTCAATTTCTACATGAAAACAGGATTCATAGAACCAATAGAAATATAAAAGCACCACATGTGGAAGAATATTCATGAAGTTTAAAGACAGTTTCGCCCACAAAATATACAGCCAATCCACTTTACAATATATTTCTGTAAAGCACTTTGAGAGTTTCAACGATGTGATAAGGTGCTATATCAAATGAAAAGATTATCATTATTATTAGCAACAGTGATCACAGTGCAAGTTCTCAAACTGGACATAACAGGAACATTGCATATAAACTGAATAAAGCACTAGCCTAAAAGGGGGGAAAAAAAACACAGAATAAGGATTAAAAATTAAGCGGTTTACTTTTGAAGTGCTTTGGGACGTCTCGAAGACGTGAAAAGCGCTATATCAAATGCAAGGATTATTATTATGATTATTATTATTAAAGCAACTGGTATAATACAATGAATACATTTGTGCTTTCTCCAGACATATACACACAAGATAATACATTGGTTTCTTGAGATGTAAAATATTCATATTAAAGAAACTCAAAGATTACCTTATAAATTTTAAAAATGAAGTAGTTTTACTGAACTTTAGAGGAATATAAACAAATACACTTTAGAGGAATATAAACTTTAGAGCAATATAAACAGTCTCTGAGTGTGGGCTTTAAGATGATGTGCTCCCCTCCCCCACCCCCCTCACCATTGTTGTTCTGTGGAAAACGGCTTTAATTTAAATTATTTTCCACAAATAATAATTATAAGCAAAGTTTAATACTTTTAAAATAAAGTCCAAACATGGCTCTTGTTTGACATGTGGAAAATAATTTAGATTAAAGCTGTTTTCCAGTTCAAGATCCTGGTCCTCACCTACAAAGCCCTCCATAGCCCTACCCTACCTCTGATCTCCTGACCCACTACCAACCCGCCCACTCCCTCCTCAAAACCCTCCTGCTCAACTATGCCATCAGTCACCCCTCTTCCCCTCCCCTCCTTGACCCCAGCTTGGGTCTGAAATGCTGTACACAGTCCAGCGCCTTGGGAAGTCCTCCCGACGTGAAAGGCACTATACAAATGCAATCTTGTTGTTGTTCCACAGAACAACACTTGGGGGGAGGGAGGGGGCGCAGGGGAGGGGAGCACATCATCTTAAAGCCCACACTCAGAGGCGTGGTCTGGCTCGCTCATTAAATTCACTTTTTTTTAAAACACTGACGGGGCTCTGAGCAGTTCATATCCTATCCCGGGATATGGAGAAGATCTGTTGATGTCTCACCACCAAGATGTGCAGGTTAATTAGACAGCCCAAGTGTCATCAACTGCAATATAGCATATGGCATAATAGAATGCAACTATCTGGCTCTTCCTAGTTACACAAGGCTGGTAGATTTCACACTCCTCCAGGGCAATTAAATGGCATCTTCAGCACATTCTGGTAAAGGAGGGCAGCACCTGTCTTACTAGAGTGGTGAGATGCTAGAATGCTACATATGATCCTCCAGCTGATTCTGAAGATTCAAGAGAAAGACCTGCACAGGCTCCAACTTGACTTCCTGTTCCTGGCGAGCAAAATCTCCTGTGCATATGGGTATAGATTCTTCATTCTGGTAAGAAATATCAATGTCTAATTGTGGTGCCTTCGGTCTTCTGATGACGCTGCACCAATCCAATGGTAGAAGGTCAAACTCCTCTATGGAAAAGTAAAACAGGCTATCTCATTGAGAATTCAAACTCTACAATGGACTTCTAGACATCTATAGTAAATCACATGCAAAACAAGTACTTATAATATTTACTTTGAAAAGAGGATGTAGGACACAAACAGCTGAAAAAGAACAGGACTTTCCAACATGCAAAATAACAAATGCATTTACAAACAGAATATGAAATGATTGTACTTGGGATGGAAATCAAAGTTTCACTTACTAGACTGTGAGTATCCGCAAAGGAGGAAGCAGTGGCAATGATTTTCTCCAGACTTTTCTTGGTGGTCTATTGTAACCAGGTGTATTGACCTTTCCGTTCTATTCCAATTTATACCTTGCAGAATATTTAAGGTTGACGATTTACTTGCAACAATCATAGAAGTTTCCTTTTGAGTACCAACTCACCTTTCTAATGATGCTGTTTCAACGTCATTCCTGCACTGTTTGTGCGATGTGGGTGGGTAACTTTGCCGCATTTATTCATAACTAGTAGCCAGTTGTATGCAGTTACACTTCACTGAATCTCCTGCATTTCTTGCAGAACATTGAGTATTTACAGCATCAATTTACCAAACCATGCATAGGTCAAGGAACTCGTCTATGTGAGTGCATGAGCTAACCATGTATAATGTCAACCAGTGGGTGTCAATTCCTGTTAACACCAAAAAAAATGAAGGTTTGATTCAGCACGAACTGAACAGAGTCAACACTACAACACCATCAAACGTATCTGTATTGTCCTTCGGACAAGATGTTAAACCGAGGTCCCATCTGCCTATTCAGGTGAATGTTACAGTTCCCATGGCACAAAATAATATTCCTTGTGTTTGATATAGCGCCGTATCACTTCTTCGAAACATCTCAACGAGCTTCCCAGAATATACTGCAAAGTGAATTGACTGTATATTTTGTGGGAGAAATGCGGCAGCCAATTGCGCATAGCAGTATCCAACAACCAGTCATGGACTGATTGTCCAAATTATCATTAATATTATTCTTTGTTTTTTTGAAGGAATTATTACCCTTTGAAAATCGATCCCCAATCGACTAACAACCAGATTACTACATACTGCTAGGTAAACAGCGGTGTGTGGAGTAAGGAAACAATGTTCGCCCTGCCCGGGAATCGAACCCAGGTCCTCTTGCTTGTGAGGCGAGTGCTCTAACCACTAAGCTACAGTACTCCACAAATTCCACTGTTGGACAAGAGAAGGGAGTTTCTCCTGGTGTCCTGGCCAACAATCCCCACATAAAAAAGATGGTGATGGTTGTTTATGGGGTATTGCTGTGTTTACTCACAAAAATACATTCAATACACTTTACTGTATATTCTGTATATCCAATACACATTACTGTATATAAATGACCTGGACTTGGGTATAAGCAGTACAATTTCCAAGTTTGCAGATGATACTAAGCTAGGAAAAGTAGTAAATGGAGAGGAGGGTAGTAGTAGACTACAAAAGGACATAAACAGACTGGTAAGATGGGCAGATATGTGGCAGATGAAGTTTAATGTGGAGAAATGCGAAGTAATGCACTTTGGTAGGAAGAATAAGGAGGTAATATAAGATAGATGGTATAATCTTAAAGGGGTGAAGGAACAGAGAGACCTGGGGGGTTCACATAAGTAATTCTTTGAAGTTGGCAGGACAAGTAGGTAAAGCTGTTAAAAAAGCATATGGGATATTAGGCTTTATAAATAGGGGCATAGATTACATAAGTCAGGAAGTTATGATAAATAGAAATTTTCAAAATTCTGAGGGGAACAAGGAGAAACTGTTTACACTGATGGATGGATCGGTAACTCAAGGACACCAACTTAAAATAGTTGTTAAAAGAAACAGAGCGGAGGTGAGAAGAAATTTTCACACAGCGAGTTGTTCGGATCTGGAATGCATTGCCTGAAAGGGTGGCGGAAGCCGATTTGATAACAACTTTAAGAGAAAAGTACATAATTATTTGGGGAGGACAAGTTTGCAGGGCTATGGGGAGAGAGCGGGGGAGTGGGATTGATTTGGATAGCTCTTTTCAAAGAGCCGGCACAGACATGATGGGCCGATGGGCCTCCTTCTATGCTGTATAATTCTATGATTATGATCTATGACAATGTTCCTGTGAAGCGCTTTGATATTATAGGCGCTATGTCAAATAGAAGGATTATTATGTTAAATACTGTGTATGACATCAAGAATAAAATAGACATCATAAAGCAGAAACATTCACAGGCCAATGGAATGCCAATCCTGAGGCATACTTTGACCTTGAAATGAACTCCGTAAGTTGTGTTTGAGGAGGTATGGGAGAGGGAAGCAAAGTATTAACGTTGTCAGGGACCAGATGGGTCAAATGGCCGGTTTTCATGCTGTAACAGTCTATGTAAACCAAAGTGTTAACCTACACTACAGACAAGTGGAGTGCATGAAGTCAAATTACTTTATTTACATCAAGTTTTGTTTCCCCGTCAGAAGTTGAAAAAATCCGACAATCAAACTGTATTAATTGAGCTACATGAATAAAGACAGAAAATGCTGGGAATGTACCATACAGCAGCGCAAACAGCACTGAAAGAGAAAGGCATCTTAACATTTTGGGCGAAAGCTTTCATCCGAAACACGAAAGCACATTTCTCTTTTACAACTGGTTTGTTTTGTGCATTTTAGATTTCAAGCATTCAACCCTTTTTTCTGTTACTTGAACGACAGTGCTATAACATGACAACCAAATTTCAATATTAGCTTTTATTTCACTGTGCATTACAAAGGAATAGAATCCCCTTTACATCACACCAGAGTTCCTACCAGTAAATCAAAACTGCTGCATATCTTTCCTGACAAACTTAAAGAGCAAACTTAGTTAGTCAAATGTCATACTAGACAGCACAGAAAATATGTGTAAATAAAGCTACAAAACTAATAGCTGGCATGTTAGAAGCTGTATTATAAATTATGCAGGGGCAAAAAAGGATATAGTGCAAAGTGCATCTTGTAGTATATGGACTTACCTCATATATATATATATCACATCGTTAGTTTCTGTCAAAAAGCAGCAAATACATTGTCATCTGAAAAAAAAGAAACATTACTTTTCAAAATTGTTTTTTTTGTTAAAAAAAGTTGAACCATTTGAGAATCATTGCTGTTTCTCATACCCATGCTCCCACCTGCCAGTTCTTCAGGTGGACGATAAAGACATCATGATACTATTCAAAAATTGAAAGGAGTTTTTTTCTCCCCAATGTTCAGGCCAATCCATAGTCTTTCAGGTCAATTGTTCATTCATCTATTTGCTGTTTGTGGGATCCACTGGGTCTCTGAGGTATATTTATGTGCAAATGTGCATGTGAAAGGTTGAGATGTTATAATGAGCTATGAAACTTGCAAGTTCTTTCCATTTTGGGGTCAGCCAGGTGCCTGCCACATGCTGAAACCCATCACCATGCAAAGAGTATCCAAATCACAGTCCATGCATGCCACCTATACATGGAAATTCCCTTGTTTGGAATGAAATAAGCAACCGGTCACATCTTGCTTATCGAAATGATGTCAGGTTCGATTCCCCAGCTGTCCTTCTTACCCCAAATTCGTTTCCTGACCAGGATCGCTTCCCCCCCACCCCACCTTCGCCACATCATTCGCTTCCAACCATACCCTCATTCATATATTAATCACTGATCCAAAACTACACTGCCTGTATTCTCAGCTGTACCAAACTCCGCACCCCTTTCACTCCAGTCCTCACCAGGCTCCACTGGATACCGATTACAGAACAAATCCATTTCAAGATCCATAAACTTACAAATCGCTCCAGCCTTCTATGCGTCTCGTCCTCTCTGCTCCACCATCAGTGACTTTCAGTCACTGCTCCCCGAAACTCGGGAACTTTCTGCCTCAATCCCTCCACCTTGCCAATCTTCAGACCGCACCTAAAGACCTTCCTCTTTGACCGTCCCTACGGCCACCTCGCCTCTCTCTCCACCTTGGCATCAAGCTCTGCACTGTTAAGCGCTCTGAGATGCTACCCACCTGAAGGGTGCTATATAACTACAACGTGCATTTATATATCGCCTTTCACGAGGGGCAGTGTCTCAGAGTGCTTCCCAGTGAGCGAGCACAAGACTGAGCCGGGGGGGAGGGAGGAGGTAACCTTAAGTACGATCAAAGAGGAAGGTTGTCAGTCGTAATCTAAAAGAGGGGAAAGCGAGGGTAAAGCGGAGGGATTGAGGGAGAGAGTTCCAAAGTTTTGGGGCATAGTGGCTATATATTAATTTGCATTTAAATAGCACCCTTCATGCAGATGCAGTCTCAAAGCTCTTAACAATGGCATGTTTTGACGATATAGTAGGAGCCAAAGAATCCCTGCCTCAGTGCGCCCTTCCAAGTCCTACCAATGACAAGCAATGGAGTACTGTGGACCCGACTGGCTCAGTAACTGTACTATAGTACCAAGACCACCACTAAAGACTGACTCGATTTCAACATTCCATTGCCAAGTATGTCACCTTGGAGCCCGTTCAGCTTCAAGGAGACCCTACTTGCCCTCCCCCCACCCTCAGGAGTGTAGTCACTTGATCGTCATTTGACATCTGACAGGTAGATACCAGGAACTCCCTGCAAGCTTCCTGGTGAGCAGCACAGCTCAGCCTGAATTGCGTGAAAGCACTGCTACCATTTTCCTATCCACAGCCCGGAGACACCTCTCTACCCATTCTGCAATGATTCCACCAATTGAAGTGCAGAGCTTGAGCAGCAAGCTCGATCAAGGTTAATTCCAAGCTGTGGATGTGTATATATGAACTTGTGTTCCCAAACCCGGATTCCAGGTAATGCCTTCCAGCAACTATTATCTCATCAGCTTTTACACAGACATTAACTTTAGCGTGGTAGGAAGGCATTTACAGGAAAGTTTGTGACATGCCAGTCAGCTTGATGTTTTTGAGGTCCAAGTCCAATGATGTGTATCAGGCTTACTCAGCACCAGCAGTTCAATTCAGGTTCTCATGTGAAGGGCTTTGGCAATTAGATAACAATAATCCCTGCATTTGATATAGCACCTTATCATGTCTTTGAGACATCTCAAAGCACTTCACAGAATATACTGTAAAGTGAATTGACTTTATATTTTCTCAAAAATTGCAATGTAGTTTTCTAAGGCAGCCTAATAGTCTGTAGAAATGAGTACAGGCGGCACAAATTGATTTGTTTAATCTGAGTTTGTCCTGGAGAGAAAAACTCTCATGCCTATCTGACTGTTTAAGATGAAGAGCAGGACCTGACACACTCTATTCTATCTTTTTGACACAAAGTGTTGCACTTTGTCATTGTTACTCTATTTTTTGCATACTCTATACTGTATACATTGCATAAAATATATTATAAGTACCAGTACTGTCTATATTAATATTATCAATCTATATGTTGAGGGTTGCCTGCCCCTTTTTGAGGGTTAAGTTCCCAACCAGCTATGGAGACATTAATTCTGGGGGCTTAGAGAGAGAAACAAGTTACTTGCAACAGGTTTAGCGCGGGGGAGGGGGGGAACACACTGATACTTTGTTTAATGGGAGGAATCATGTACCTATATGAGGAGGAGGCTTGGCTTACCTTGTGGTCGCGGCTCTCTCAGTCCAACTTTCAATCATATGTGGCATGTAAGTGTACAGAGGGATGCTCGAGATGGAACCAAAGAGCGTCTCGAAAATGGATGTGTGGCTGTCTGCATCCCCCCAAAAAGGGGGGAACGGCAGGGAGTGAGGTAAAGGCTCACCATCCTGTAAAATTACGGCAGAGCCAGGACTAGCCCACCGGTGTTAACTGTTCCCTGTAGAAAAAGGAAACTGAACCTCAGCAGGGTCGCTGCGGTGACAGGGGTGGGACTGGTCGGGTATATATGTATGTGTATGGGTTTGTGTTTATGAGGTCTCCGGGCCTGCGTTTGAGTAAACATGTGCGCATGTGGTGCACGTCGGGGTGCCATCCGAAAGCGTCAAGTGAGCCTCATCAGTGTGTGCAGGCACGCAATGGATGCAGTGCACACAGGGGCGATTCCCGACTGTCTTAAAAGGAGTGTCTCAAAAAACATGTGCAAATCCTGCGTGCTATGAACCAGTCCGCACTCCCAACTAAGTGCACAGAAGCCACGCCCGCCACAAGGGGCCGGGTCTGTTGCGGTCTGTAACAGAACAATAACATGCTGCATCTTTTTTCTGCAATTGGTTTGACACTGTCTGAGATAAATGTAAATGTATACCAACAAACAAATATATATTTTGTAAAAAAAAAGTGCCTGGCGAGGGGGACTACCTCCAAGTCAAGATTGGTCTTTATTATTATTTCAACTAACATTATTATTTTCTGTCAGTTATCAGTCTGTTGTTGAATAGTGGTTTATCCGTTTAATTGTTGTATTTATCTGATTTACTTTGGCCTAGAAGATAGAGACATATACACCCACTTTATTAGTGTTTAGTTAATAAAATATCCGTTGCACCTGTTCAATATTGCCTGAGTCTCTGTTATATCCTTAGAGAGGCAGATAAAACACATTAAAGCAGGGAGTTGTCGTACTTAGTGGTCTGATAGTCGAAAAGGCACTGCGGAAAGCATCATGATCGCAGGGTCAGTAAAGCCAATTGGGAAAATCTGTTATGTGTCTCCAAAATAGTCAAATTACTCAAGAGCAGGAATTTGCACTCACAGAGTTAGGAGTTAATTCTAAGGTTTACTGACATTGTACATGGAGGGATAACGCAACTTACATTATCGCAACTTACATTATTAAACCAGTAAAGCAACGCACTGTGGCATTTTTGCTAAATTATGTATGTGAAGATGCAATTATCACCAAGCTAAATTCTTCCTGCAAATTTACTCAATGAAGATGTTATGAAAGTAGCAATTATGAAAAGAAAATCAAATTTGTGTTTGCAAGATACTGTGTCGCATAACTTGGTGCATCACCTGTGCTTCATTGAATGGGTATGCAACTGATGAATGGTTGTAAAACTTGATATTTACCCTTTCACAGGTGATTATTATTATTGTAATCCTTGAATTTGATATAGAACCATATGTCTTTGAGACATCTCAAAGCACTTCACAGAATATACTGTAAACTGAATTTACTGCATTTTTGTGGGAGAAATGCGACAGCCAATTGTGCATGGCAGTGTCCCACAATTATTAGTTTTAATTATTTTGGAGGGATTAATACCCCCAGAAATGATCTGCCAATCAACTAGCAACCAGGTTCGTATTTACTTCTAGATAAACAGAGGCATGTCGAGTAAGGAAACTTGCTTAAGACTTCACCGCAAAAGGTGATGCAACCCCAATCCTAATATGGCTATCATCCTGTCCATGATGACAATCACTTGGAAAACAAATTGGTGCGTTCTAGCCAACCTTGAGACACAAGGCATACATTCACTGATCACTAAAAATAAGTGATAGTTTCATTATAGTTTTAAAATGTGATTTCACCATATGATCGACTCCATACTTACAGAAGCTGCATATATCTGACAGGTTCAATATTGACCCAGATTGAATGTAATTTAGGGAAATGTTCATCTAAAATTACAGTCATTACATTTTACAGTAAATCCTATGAAGCGTTTCCAAGATATCTGACAATGTGACAAGGCACTATATCAAATGCAAGGTTCATTATAATAAACTGTCTCAGCAACTAAAAATCCCAATATAACTACACTGAAGGTTCCATCTGGATGAGCGTCCAAAATGCCACCATTCAAATCAATGATAAGACCACAATCCACAATTAAAGAGATCTGTCAGCATCTTCTCACATTACAGCAGTGACAAAACCTGATCTCCCCCGCCCCTACACCATAGATAAAATGAAACCAAATAAATGTTTAAAACCTCCGAGACAGACACCCAATTACACTCTTTTCATTCCTGCTTTCTCGTCTCGCTTTGCTCTGTATTTCTGAAACATTAATGGTAAAGAAGAACTCCATTATGGTCTGGGTCCATAGACTAAGAACCTGGGTTAAAAGCAGGCGCACTATAAAATGGCTATCTTCTCGGTATTCAGACT